CAGTCGTCCGGGACCTCCCCCGTTAACCAGGACTGCTGATAAATGATGGAGAGTGGCTTGGTGAGCTCCTGCGCCAGCTCCCTCAGCACTCTCGGGTGGATCCCATCCAGCCCCTTAGACTTGTGAGCATCCAGGTCGCGTAGCAGGTTGTTAACTGCTTCCTCTTGGATTATGGGGGGTTCATCCTCCTCGCTGTCCCTGTCTTCCAGCTCAGGGGGCTGAATACCCTGAGGATAACTGGTCTGCCTGTTAAAGACTGAGGCAAAGAAGGCATTAAGTGCCTCAGCCTTTTCCTCATCCTCAGTGACAATGTTCCCCCCCGCATCCAATAAAGGATAGAGATTCTCCTTGGCTCTCTTTTTGTCATTAATATATTTGTAAAAACATTTGTTGTCAAGATATGTGAATTTTGATGTTAGCCACTTTCACCTGTCCATTCAATGTGGTGTGCCAAGATACCACAACTTCCCAGCTGTATGGGAGCTCTTCTAAAATATATAAGTATTGTTGCTGTTGCTTTGCTTCTCTTGCAGGAAAAGGATTTTGTTTTTAACACGGAATGCTTGACCTAGTTTTCACCAGGCTTTTAGTTTCAGCACGGTCTCATAGTAGATGAGGTGCTGTATTCCGGAAGTGTATGTAATGCTTCCGTTCAATCTACAAACTACCAAGTCCCTGAGGTTGAGAAAGGATGCTAGTTCTTTATGGACAAATGTAAATATATTTTTTCCTTCCCAGACAGATTATCAAGCATCAGGTGGAAATGTGGTGCGTAACAAAACTGCTTAGTTCATGTTCTCCCTCACTTGGACACCTTAAGAGTTTCTGGGGCTGGTGGTGTGCAATCATTTCTGTAGCTATGCTGGTGTTAGCTGTAGTAGCCAATTCTCTGCGCTTCTGAGGTTGTGACTTTTTTCCATGGGCAGCTTGAAGTTTCTCATGCTTCTTCAGTGAAGAACAGCTTAACCGTTTCTTTCCTCTTTAGTTCTGACTTTTTTCTTGGTGGAGGATGGAAGGGGAGTGACACAAAAGCAGTGGTGTTGCTAACATGCTAACTAAAAGCATCATTCATTGGTTATTTTCCATTTAAATTGATGATTTAATGGAGAAACATGGTTAAATGCACATAACCTCAGAAGTATTGCGGATTTTGCTTTTCTTACGACTTTAGTCAAGCTTATTTGGCTTGTTTACTGGTGAAATTGGGAAAACGGATGATCTATGTCACTGAAATGACTTAGGATATCCTACGGTTAGGATCTGTACCACAGCATGCATCAATAAGAGGTCAGCTTAGCCTGTGACTACCAAGGCAAAGCTATCTTTAGGCAACACAGGAAGCTTGCTTTGATATGATCACCACAATTATTTTGTGGCGATCTCTTAGAATGGAATCGTAATGGTCATAGCTTTTTTTTAAAGTCTCCAGTAGGATAGTACTCTCGGGCTTTGAAACACTAGTCACAGGATAATTTGCCAATCCAAACAAGTGCTGTGTTTTAGTGGAGTCAGCCATTCTTGTGGAGTCAGATGTTAGCTCCTGTGGTTTGGGGTCTCTTTACCCCTTCTTCCCCGAAGGATCTTTGCATTAGCTACTAACATCTGTTAGGTGTGGTGCAGACATAGCCTTAGCAGACTTCTTGTCTGCCTTTACTGGAAAATAGGGCCAGGGCACGGTCTCCGAGACTTTCTTGTTACTATACCTAGTGTTTAATTGTTAGCCTGTTCCCTGGTGTGATTTTGGTTAGTGTCCTAAACCATTTAGCACTCTGCTAAACAACACATGGCCTGGTGTCCCCAGCATCCCCGGTGGACCAGAGCCTACTTCTGGGGAAGGAGAGAGTTTAGTTGTAGGGCCCTGAGCAGTGCCATCTCACTTATCCTTAGAGCCAAACAAGCAGTCCCACTCATGTGTAGTGTAGTAGCATGTGCACTACCCTTAAAGACTTAGTAGGTTTAAAAAAATGCCTAAATGTGGGAAAACTCGTGGGCAAAATTTTTAGGGAGCTTGAATGAGCAGTAGTGAGACAGGCGAAAACTCTGTGGGAGTTCTGTTAAATTTCCATTAAGCATTTCAGAACATGTTTGTGTCTTCATAGCTGTCCCAGTGCTCCCTATGGGCTGCTTGTCCTGGTTATCTTTAGCCTACCCAGTCCCTGAAAACAGGTCTATTGATTACACACAATCAGATGGCAAGGGGCTCTACCCCTTCAGCGAGCTTTGAACTTGAGTTCAAAAGTTGGGCTTTGCAGGTACGGTTGCAGAAAACTGCTTGTCAGTGGTGGTGACTGATAGTTGACTCGATGTGGCAGTAGGTCCAGATTTTGCCCCGCCCCTTGCCTGGCCCACAAGCTTAAGGATTGATGCTTCAGTATGCACTATAGCTTGCTGGTCCCTTAAACACAGGCTGCTGGGAATCCTCTTGATCTCTTCTAACTCACAGTATGGAGACAAGAGCTCTGTGTTCCAGTGCCGCCCAACTGTTCATGCTGCGGCATTTATTCCTCAGTCACAAGCTGAGCTCACTGCAGGACAAAGGCTTTTTTAATCTGCAGTGCAAGACTTTTTTCTTTGCTGTAAATTCCTTTAATACCCTTTAAAGAAAGTATGTCAGCTGGTGGGTGCCGCTGTTACCTGGGGAGAGTCACCTGGGTAATAGACCTATTGCTGCTGCTTAATATGTTAAAGCATGTAGGAAGAACAGTTTTATGCATTCTTTCAAGTGGTTCCGGCAGGTGATCGGCGAAGTGTTTCAGAAGGATCTGTATTCTTTCTGCAGAGTCAACACAGGGTGCTTTCTTGTTTAGTCTTAGCAAAGCTGAACTTCACTAGAAAATGAATTCTTAATTCTCAGCTCCTTGATTTGCACTTGAACACAGTGTTAGCTGAGCAATCTTTACCCTTGGTCTTGTTTTTGGCTTGTTTGGGCTTTTCTCTTCCCCTGCTGCCTTTGCAGTTTGTATTCACTTCCACAATGATTTGAAGCCTGATTCATTCACTTTTTCCCAGTCTTGCTAGAGCAAAATCACTAAGTATAATGAGTTTTTATGGTAACTTCTTTTGTTAGACACACGGAACACTTGACCTTCTTCCATCGTTAACTTTTTTCAGATTTTCAGTATGTTCAGTATATTCATTATGTTTACAGAATCAGAATGAATAACTTCATGTAGTGCTTCATTTTTTTTGTTCTGTTTTCTTGGAAATTAGAAACAAAGAAAACTGATCTTTTAAGTTGGCCTTGATTTGTTAGTGTTTTACAGTACTTCAGATGGGAGCAGTATATAAATGCTGGTGTATTGTTTTTAATAGTGCACAAAATATATGGGGATTATTGACCACTAAACACATAAAGGACTATTTTATTTAAGTTTTGTAACTCTCTCCTCAGATTAACCTGAAAGATAACTTGGGGAAACTCTCTCATATCCTGGAAATAGACCACTTTGCTTTAGTGGTTCATGAACAAATTCAGTGTGAGTATGATGTACTGCGCCTTGTAAGAGGTAATCTTTCAGTGGTAACAAGAAGCACCTACAAGTGTGAGTGTGTAAACAAGTTCTGAAGAACCCAAATCCTCTTTCTGCATATGTAACACTGTGCTGCTAACACTCAGTAAGACACTACTACTGTCATTCTTGTGGAGCAGATGTTAAATCCATTAATAACCTCACATACTGTAACGTACCTGCTTTTGGAGCAAGCTACTGCTCAGAACTGAGTGCCTGAGTCTAGTCCACTGTGCAGCGGCTTTGTTAGTAGCAGTAAGCCAATGAATAAGCTCCTGCAGTACAACTGATCTTTGCTTCTTCCTGCTCCTGTCATGCAACTTCCAGCAGTTCCATCACAGTGAGCGTCCCAGGTTAACTACACTTCAATTTCTTGCCTTTCTAAAGCAACACCTTTATTACAACTTCATAAAGTTAGTAAGATCTAGATGTCAACACTGACATCACCATCTCAAGACAGCTTAATATTTCTGTTTCCTGTTTATTTCGTTTAAACTAACTTACTCCCCTTCACTTGATGTTTTTCCTCCAAACTCTACTTTTCTTCATCCTTCTCAAAACTCTTTACACTGCCTTCTTTATGAACTGGAAATGACTAAATAAGTCTTCAAAGCTAAGGTATATCACTGCTATATGTGAATAATATTTTTTTCCTGTTTTATCTTCCTTATAGCAGGCAACTTGCAAAATTACAAATACCGAGAAACTAGACTAAAAACAATATTGAGACTCACCAGATAAATTTATCTGACAGCTGTCTCAATTATGACTGTAAATGAAGAATAGTCATCAAATTTGGGCTTGTTCCTGATAATCTCCATAAGGATGTGCTTTTGACTCTGTGCTGACTAACTATTTATAAGCCTAGAATCTCACTGGAAGCTGGCAATGGAACAAAGATTGAGTAAATGAAAAGTCCAGGACAATCCGTCTGGCTGAACAAACTGAGTATCTAAGTAGGCTAAACGTCTCAATACAGCCAGACTTTAGGAACAGGGAACTTAGACCATAGATAAAGGGCCAGAGGTCACTTGGCCACTTGGTTCCCAGGTCAAAGGCTTATGCTCACAATGAAAAATCACTTGAACCTGTGCTCTCAATGCAGCAATGATTAGATGGTTAATAAGTTTTTTGGATATAAATGGGAAAATGTTGTATTGTCATTTTTATACTAAAGCTGTATTTGACAGTGGTGTAGGAAGATGGTAGTGTCGCATGTCCTCCTCTAGTGGCCCCTGGTTCAAACGGGATAATATCAGCTTGCAGCTGCTTCAAGTAGAGCCACAGAAACTAATGTATGAGGAAAGTACGCTTTATAACAGAGGATTTGGTCTGAATTTTCACGTCAAGAAAAATAAATCTGATGGACCCTTATCCTTCCTTCCATAATGCTTCAGTTTCTATACCCCTTTTGTTGAGTAGCCTTTCTGAAATGAAAATCCTTGCCGCTTCCTGTGTGACTGTTGGTCAAGAAGCCATTTGGGTTCCCCCTCAATGTACAAAGGTCATCAGTGATAACCAACTCCACCAACAGGCCCTGACACGTGGAGCTGGGATGGCTTGGCACCTTCCTTTACAAACAGTGCCATTAAAACCAAGTGGGATGGTGGGTTTTTGTGCCTCCTAAAGCCAGAAATCCCTCTTTGTTTCTGTGTAGATCACACTGATGGTTCCTCCAGTAAGCGGCAAATGGTGTTTGGCATCGTCACAGCCATCGACCTGCTTAACTTTGTGACTGCACGAGAACGGGAAAGAAAGTCCAACTAAAGTCAAGTAGCAACGTGGAGCCTCTTCAACAACATTTTGCAATCTCCAACAAAGAATCCAATTTATTTCTTAGGTAGAATGGTCTGTCCTTAGGGTGGTTTTGTTTTTTTTTTTTACTTAGGTAGAATGGTCTGTCCTTAGGGTGGGTTTTTTTTTTTTTTTAAATTCTGAAAATAAGCAGTTAGCTATCCTGGTGTCAGCTGTACAGCCAGTGCATTTTGCTGTATTGCACAGCTTCTGGGGACTTGTTTCTTAATCAGGTTACACAATATTTCTTATCAAGACAATTTATTTTTTTACCTATATATGTGTGTGTGTGTAAAAAAAAATATTGCCTAAATTAACTGGTATGTTCCCTACTTGTTATGTCTAAAGTCTGGCTTTCCAGAACATTGTTTCAGATTCATAAATTGTGTTGAAATAAAGAGTTACTGAAGCAGAGGCCCAAGAGAGCTCTGGAAAGTTTTGGATTCTTTTTTTTCGTGCAAGGGTGTTAAGCTAGATAATACCTGTGTGGAGACAAAAATGGGACTGGAGCGTGGAGAGAAGAAAGGGGGGATTTCCCTTTTGGTGACATCAGTGGAGGAAATCCTGAGGGCTGGAGTTGAGGCTTGTTTCAACCAGCTGCCCTGAGGAAAAACTGACTTGAGTGGATGCCTGACAGTGAAGTGACAAACATAAACTAGTGACTTTGTTTTACACGGTGCACCAGCTTTCACTGCGAAGACAGACCTCTCTCTTTTTTCCAGTTGTACCCTGATAAGTAAGCACAAGTGAAAAGATTAAAAGGTCAGACCAAGCTTCTTGCCTGAAGGTTTTTGAAAATCACGGTTTCAGCTAGTACCTTCCCCTTACCTCGCCACCCTCTTATTTATCTTACAGAGCTGCTTTTTATGCCTGTTTTAGGAGAGCCAAAGGTAATCTGTCAAGAGCTGTAAACTCTTTCAAGTCCTGTTCAAGTGCCCCTACACTGTAGCGCCTTATTCCAGGAGAAAAACCCTACTGCTAACTGAATTCACTGTAGCCAAGCTTGGAAGTAACTAGCAAACATGGTGTGGACTGTTACTGTCAAGCGTACGCAAGAGTAATGTGCAGTAGGTGTTCGCAGCTACAACTTTTCACCACTTCTGTAACTCTGGATTCTTCAGTAATGTTTGACTTGCGTAGCTGTGGCACAGTTCGGCGCTAGCAGCCCCATGCGTACGCGGCTGTCCTCAGACTGCCGACTGCTGTTGGTGGTAACGATGAGTGGAATCGCCCTGCGGTTGCAGGAGAAAAGTAGCTGTTCTTCATCTTCGTAAAGACTGCTCTAGTCACCTTCTGGCTGGCCTTTTGCCAAGAATAAAGTTTTTGATCAGCAGGAGTGACACTTTTCTTAGCTTGCCTCTCTTTCCACTGAAGTAGAAAAACACTATTTAGGCTGGGGCTATTGCTGGTAGGATAGCAAAGCTGTGGTTTGGTTTGGTTTTCTGTTTTGTTTTTTTTTTTTTTAAAAAGCTGAAGGGAGTTGTGAGTCAGCTAAGAGAAAACAAAGGGGTTATTTAAAAATCACAATTACTACCTCCTGTATATAGATTTCTTTCTACCTTGCTGGCCTCCCTGTGGCAATGGAATTTGCTGTACCTTTTGGAAGCGCGTGCTCAGAGGAGAGGGGCGGCGGAAGCCGCCCTGTCCCATGTCAGTGCTGAGCAAAGAACATCAAGCAGAGCCTTTGCAGTTGTGCCTCGGGTGATGCTGGCCTGGAGGAGGGAGGCAAGAGCTCAAAGCCAAAAAAGTGACACCAGCGATCGCGTCTGCCTGCCAGCAGTGTGACGGCCCGATTTGTCTTCTAGCTGCTTCTCGCTCACCTTAAGTTTGTGAACGTTAAGAACTCTGTTGTAATAATAAAAAGCCTCAGTCTGGTTGCTGATAACTCTTCAATGCCATGCTGGTGACTGCTAAGTTTATTCTGCCCTTGTTCAGTTTATTTCCTTAGACGTTGGCTGTCCCTTCAGATTAGGGCTATTGCTGAAGTAACGTGACCCATATTTACCTTAAACTATGGTTTAACCATTAAATTCATATACTACTTTAAGATTTAAGACAACTTTTCCCAAGGCTCTGGAATAAACTACTATGAAGTCTAAAAATGTGCAACTTCAGTAATAATTGGTTCTAAAGGATGGTTGATTTTTTGAAATGTTTTCTTCTTTTTTTTTCTTTTTTTTTTTCCTTACCCTTATGCTGTGCAGTGATTCCTTTCTCGCTGTTCCCCCTCACTGTAGTGACAGCCCCAGCGTGGGCGCTTTGACTAGTGGGAAGCGGAACTGGTGTGAGTATCAGATGTGTGTACCTGTGCGCTGAAGACACTGTTTTCAAATCTGGATTAGCTTTTCTAGGCTGAACAGCTCGCTCTTACCTCGGTTGCTGCTCGACAGAGCCTAATAACTCATCTTTCAAGCTGTATTTTTTAGCTACTTCCCAAGGGGCCATAAATAACTCAGCACAGTGAAGGGCACAGTCTTTGATCACTTTTAACATCCTTTTTGTTGTAGAGAGAGTGTAGAGAGAGCCTGCGATGGTCAGTTGTATCCCTTGAGACATTAGTATTTCAGCCAAGCTTCTAAACTCATTTCCCAATTATTTCAAATACTGTTGTCAGATATATTTTCATATCTATTCTTAATTTACAGGGAAGGCCGAGAGGGACTTATTTCGTTGATTACTTGTGTTTTCACTGCATCCTTTGAGTCCCACACTTCTAAAAGAACCTGTGTACTGCACTAGATGCTACTAACGGAAGCGTTTGCTACAATCGTAGCTGTCACTGCTGCTACATTTTGGCATTACTGTTGCTCTTGAAAATTTACCCTACTTGCTTTTGTCTGATTTTTTCCCCATTTTCCATCTGACCTTCACTGATGGCGGCGGGGAGGGGGGTGCTTAAGTATTTGGGGTTTTTTCCTTTTCTTTTTGTGCCTGTAAAAGCTCCGTGTCCCAGCCTAACCGAATTCAGCAAGAAATATGAGGAGGGTAGAAGGAGATTCCCAAAGTTGCTTTTCAGAACAGCAGTACAGGAGAGAAGTTAAGAGTTGGGGCAGCAGAAGATTAGTGCGTAGCTTTACCTGTGACACAGAGAAAAGTGTAAAGATTTTAATTTGCTTTTTTAGTTTACCGTTCATAAATTAATCTCTGTAGCGTCATGAAATCAGGTAGTATTGCTGATTAAGAAAGAGGGGGTGGTTAGAGCTGGTAGGGAAGAGGGGATGTGAGTCTAAAGCAACCCAAGTAAGCCAAAGTATCTGAGAAATCCACCTGCGCTGCTCTGCCTGTGCGGTTTGCGAGAGCGGGAGCTGTTTCCTGTTCTACACTAGCACAAGGGGGAAACGGTGGCCACCAGCCACTCTTACTCACAGGAGCAACCCTGTTTGACCAGAGGAATTGGGGAAATAGATGGAGTTGCTGAATGACTGAAAAACTTTCCTGAGCTCTTTCCTGTAGCAGGGATGAAGGCAGCAAGGAGAAGGGAACAGGGAATCCTGCAAAACTGAAGTTTCTCTGATGCAAAAGCTTGTGAGCGTGATGCTTTTTTTTGCATGTGTGCGAGTGTTGTTACTAGCCTGGTCCTGGTTAGTAGTGCTAGGGCTGGATTAACACTTGACTCATCTCTCTGTTTCAAATACCGTGAGGACGAAGAAAGATATTGCAGTTTGTTTGTTTGGTCTTTAATCTGAAGTTCAAGTCCAGAGCTCGAGCAGAACTGTATTTTTTTTCTGAAGTGGGTGCCTGCATCTTCTGTTTACCTGTGCTGGTTATGCAAGTGCCGACTAAGCCTGGAAGCTATTTTGCACATGGATGCTTATATCAACAATTCGTGCTGTATTTGTTTGTCACTGTAAGAGAATATCAGTCCTTTTGGTCTAATGTTGGCTCTGCAAAAATACTTCTATTTTCTCACCTGAAGACAATTATCCAGTAAAATCTGTACAATGTTTTGCAAGCAGTTACCAGGCGATGACTTAAGGATCATTTTGAAGTCATTGCATCCAGTATTACTTCCAACTGCTTCCACAAGCTGTGGCTGACTCCAGAACTCTGTCTAGCTGAGGTTCCTCTAAGCAGCCAGACCAGTCTCATCTGCCCACCAAGCTCGTCGCTAAATTGTTTCTGAAAACGTCTGCTTGCCGTTACGAATTTCACACAACACGCTCACTGTCAGGAGTTGCCTAGCGTTGCCACTGTCATCTAACAGCCTTTCTTACTGCGTAGTGTCAACACACAACCATGACAAAGGGAAGACTTCTTATGCTCTAAGGAGCCAGGAAAAATCAATGCTATGTGCTGTATGCATCGCACAAATGTTCACAAATTACAATATAGAGTTCAGTAAAAGCTCTTTGACTGCAGAATGACTTGGGTTTTTTAACAGCAGTTCAAGTTGAAAGTGTATTGGACTGTAGACTGTGAGAAATTTCTGTCTGCTGCAGAAGACCTCTCGCTTTCCGTGTGTGGACTGCCATGCTCTGCAGTTCTTTTCTTCTGTCTCCAGAGAGCTGCTGGTATGGCAGGACTGTCGGTGAGCCAGCCCACGGTCTGCTTCTCATGGCCAGCTTTAGTACAATCCTGGTGTTTCTGTGCAGGGTAGGAAAGGAAGGATGTAGATCTAGGGCTCAGATGCCACTGGTGAAGTTCCTACAGCAACAGGGCCTGTGCAGTCAACTGGATAGGTATTTCTGAATAAATGCAAGGGGTATGGGGCAGCCTGTGTTTCTGTGAGAAGGCAATGTCTTTCGGGAATTATGGTGAAGCTATAACGCTAAAAGGTGCATGAATTCAAGTGAGGTGCATGGGTGTTGTTCTGTGGATAAGGAGCAGCTGGGAGAAACCGAAGGGGCTGGCTGTGTTATTTCAGAGCTATGTATTTGTGCTGCTGCTCAGCGTCTTGGTCGATTGCTCAAGTTAAACCACGATGAAGGTGGTTTATATCTGCTAGGCAAGCGAATAAACCCCTCATCCCTTGTTTTTTTGGTCCCTATTTCCTTATGCAGTCAGTCCTTGCTCAGCCCCATCCAAATAGCTTAGGACCCTGTCGGCCAGTCTCACTGGGACGTTGTTCCATCTCGCAGAGACCCAG